CTGGGTGGCATTTGGGCACCGCGAAGCCGCTCGCATGGGAGAGTGAAAGAAATGGGAAAGGTTCTGCTGTTTACGATCCAAAAAGGGTTTATTGATTTTAAAAAAAAAAAAAAAAAAAATAGGTGAAATCTTTATGGAGTTTCCTCATACTTGCTACCCACCTTAAGTATCTATATATGTAGGTAGGTAAGTGAAGAAAGAAGAAAGGAGTGAGGAATTGGTAGTCCACAATCGCGCGTATGATCTGGAGATGAATTGATCTCTACCTTGGAGCCTGTGCATTGTCATTACCAACAGGTATATATACAACTCTATTTTGGGTAGTTCCCCCTACTCCAGAGCCGGCTAATCCTAGGGCGGCTGCTTTCTTTCCCTCACGGATTTCAACAACTCTCTTAGCCGCGGCCCAGCCCAGCAATCCCGTAGTGCCTAAAATAAAGCCCCAGACAATGATTTGATCCTTGCGGCTGTCGCGTTGGAAGCACATAGTCACGACATCGTTCTCCTCGGCGTCCTTGCAGATGGGGAGATGTTGGGTTAAGCAGAAAGCGCGAGTGCATTGAGTACAAGAAGCGGAGGCAGCGCGGTTTTGGGGTTGTAACGAACGTAACGCGGAGCTGGAGGTAGATTCGCTGAACGGAGGGGAGGAGTCGCCCTGAGGTCCGAGTTGTATCAAGGTGCTATTCTTGAAGCAGGTGCATTTACAAAACGTAGGCGCAGCTGGGAGCACACATGTTAGCTTCGCCATACCAATAAATCACGCTGTGGTTATATGAGGAGGGTGGAAATAGGCTTGCTCACAAGCTGCGGCGACATAGGAAACAAGGATTCCCAGGAGGAATAGCAGAGGGAGACGAAGTCGCATCGTGCCGCGATTATTGGGCCAGTATCCAGTATCAGCTCTCGATTGCCCGACTCTCGAGTACCGCGACGGGCAGAGCCTATGAGGCCAAGGCTGGGAGTGAGGCTGAGGCTGAGGTTCTTTAGTTAGTGGTTATCTAATCCGGTAGTGCTGAAATGAGTGTCTGCTGGTGTTGTGTCGATTGATTCGATAATCATAATAACGAGGCATATGATGTACGAAGCCTGTATATGCAGAAATCCAAAGTGAGTTTGCATGGTGTGCTACGGATATATACATAATGCTCCTTTAGCACATATATGTCGCGAACTCGCATTAAAAAAAAAAGTTCGAAACTCGAATATTTCGAATGGCTACCGCTGCAAACCTACAAGACCGCGACTAGACTTCTCAATCAGTAAGAAATGCGACGGGTACCGCGAGTAAGACGGCCATCTGGCTTATCCAGCTCGTTTACCCGCTCTTCAATCGTCCTTTCAACCAGCCAACACCCCCATCAACCCACAGCTTCTCAGACTGCCCTGGCTTCACATTGTAGGCCCGTCCCGGCGTGCTTACAAAGTCATATATCTACACGATTTTACTCGGCTCATAGACAGCCTGTCTCGTCCGAACCCGGCCCCGTAACAGAAGCCGCAAAAGAAGAATATCGCAGAGAAGAAGATAACGAGTTGAACAAAGAGGGTCTGGAGGCTGCAGGAAATCAACACTCACACGCATACGCCCCGCCCCCTCGGCGCAGTCATGCTGAGCGATCAGATGAAGTCTCAGATCCTAGCTATATTCCCGCTATGACGGCGGACGGCCTAGAAACCGTGGGCGGTCTAGGAAACTGGTGGGACAAACAGGACCATTGGTCTAATGATTTCGTAGGCTTCAAGCCAACCCAGAAGGTTCTCGATCCAGCTGTTATTGAAGCTACTGTAAGACAGGCTATCATAGAGGCATTCGCATTGAGGCAGGCGGGCCGTGAAGACGAACTGGTGCGTGCTTGGCCAATAAGGACAGAGGAACTTGGTCGCCTCATGGAGGTAGCCATCCATGTTGAAGATGATGGCGCAGTGTCCCTTTCTGGAGACGTCTCTATTGTTCTAGAGGCTCTGAATCAAGAGAATCAGTCCAACTTTATCAACGAGTCTACCGCCGAGGGGATCATGCACAAATCGGTGCTTTCGGCAGAGAAAGCCCGGGAGTATAGCAATGCCTGGGGTCACGGCTGGAAAGCCGCGTCTCTGTCAGACACTCGTATCAAATTCGCTGTGAGTTTCGCTCTATTCAGACTTCGTCTGGTTCTTTACCTTGGGCGACGGGCATCGAACTGACATTGATCTTCTATCCTTAGATCAGGAAACGTGTTTTCCAGCTCACTGGTCAGCTTGTCCTTGACCACCAGCTATCAAGCATCACCGATGTGCGATCCTTGTTGCACGTAGTTCAAAAGCCGCCGAGACCGAAGACTGTAACTCAAGAGATCCAGGAGCGCCGCCAAGACCTAGTAAAACTACCGAACGTATCTGTCGCCACGAAACGCATCACGCGCGGCGATAGAGAGAAGGCTTTCGGAAGATATAAGCTCATAGAAGAGGAGTTTAAGAAGAGGGATCTTCCTCTAGTAGGACATGGGTTCGTAAGAAGAAATCGGGAACTATCGCAACTCAAGGGTGGAATTTAAGGAAAAGCGAGGGTACGGTACTCACGTAAAGGGAACCAATATATTATCTCCACACACGGAGGCGCAAAGGGTCTTTATTATACCAGATCAGTCTTACGCATGATCCTTAGGTAAGTGATTCTGAGAAAAAAAAATATACATAAAAACACATATGCTATAAATACGCTGTTTATACCAATATATAGATATAGATATACTGACTGACAGACTGACAGTTACAGCCACCGAAAATCACTTGACTCCAAGACTTGACCTGGTAATCTGAATATATTGTAATCTGTATTGTTGCTTATCTTGAGACCGCACGGGACTCATTCCGTGAGGTTGACGTGCTCAGCTGGTTGTAATCGTTGTAATTGCCATAGCTCCGTGTCTGGATGATCTTGCCGATCTTGTACGTCTCCTAGCTGCACCCTTCTTCTCGCATCAATATACATCATATATTCTTGGTATGTATCTACAGGGTAAAGTCAGTATCTTATTTGCGGGCGTCATTGTAAGAAAACCCTAAAAGCCTATAAGCTCCGGGCTTACACTCATACTAAGGGGTCGTTAGTAGAGCGAAGAAATGTGACATACGGGGTAAGACCTTGACACTCTTTGGCACGGAAAAGGTGTAATTAAACTGGCCCGTCGGTTTAGCAATGCCATGCTCGACATCTCTAACTTTGCTGTCTACTCTGACGTCTGTAACAAAGGAGTCAGCAATCTTGAGTGCTTAGTATTTGTTTCAAGAGTAACGAGTCTTTAGGGTTTCTTCACTCCGAAATTAAAGAATTGTGACTTACGCAAGCGCGTCACGGGGTCCTTCGAGTCTTTCTGCTGCGGTTCGCTCTCCTCTTCACTCAGTTCTAATAAAGGGGGGTCCGTGTATACGACAGTAGCAGTAAGGTATAGCACGCTACCGACGGGGACCGGATTGCGAAACGTGCAAGGGTCGGCGCTAATGAAAGTTGGTCGCGCGTGCGCAAAACTCGAAGCACAGCAGAAAGCTAACTCGAAGGTTTGCTTCAGGTGGAAGCCGCCGAAAATCATCGTTTGATGTCTATTTCTGTATTGCGGCTGCATGATAGAAGCAGTAGATAGCCGGGTCTTGGACATCGAAATTACATTCGCTGGCTGACGGATACTGTTGTTTGGGTCGCGATATGCCACCTGTCTCAACCAGATCTTATGGATGAGGGCCGATTCAGGGTCATTAGGCTCCGTTTCAAGCAACGAAGTCTTGAGCTTCCTTTTCTTGGCTAAGGCTTTAGCCTCACCGGCCTTGAAAATTTTCTCTTCTTCTGGATTCGACCAAAGTAGAGGTGGTATGGCGACAGATTTCTTGGTACTGATTGTATTAAACATGTCGTATTAGCATTTTCCTCATAGCATTCTACAATTAAGTAGGGCGGATAGATGTATCAGGAGGTTTCGAGAAAGTGTTCACTTTGAGACACCCAAGTAATCTAGAATATAAGAAAAAAGATGCCGATACGACACATTTTGTATACTTACTTTCCATCCAAAGCCACCATAGTGAAGGTGCACGTAAGCAACACATCCTCGGCTTTGCTTGGCTCGCCTTGGTCTCTAGCCCGGGCGACTTTGCAGGTGATCTCTACGCTACTCCTCCCGGACGCGTATGTGACTTGGCCGCTGTACTCGAGATCGCATATCTCGGTAAGGGGATGAGCAATGGTAATCCGATCAAGGGCAGCGGTCACGGCAGTGACTCCAGGTCCGGTATGCTTATATACGATAATGCCAGACAAAGCATCCAAGTCCATAAATATTGTACCCAACCTAGAAGAGAGTTACGCAGTCAGAGATGGCAGGGGATGACAAAAGGAGCGGGCCGAAGACCTTATATGACCAGAAGCGTTGATGTATGTATCACTAAGCCAAGGATCACGACCAAGAGGCAGAACAACTCGATGGTAGCTGTCGCTCATTTTCTTCGGAGTAAGATCACGCGCTTGAGGCTTCGCTTCGTCGGATGCTACGTTCTTCTTTTCCTGTTGAAGCCTCCACGCCTCTATCCAGGGCATAGGAAGTCGATTGTCTGAAAGGCCCGTAAAAACGCCATCTGTGAGACGGACGGCTGTGCCGTGAAGGCGTCTCTTTGTATAATAGCCATAGAAGCGAGCTGCACTGAGTGAGGTGTACGCGCCCAAAGCATTGAGATGGGAGGGCAAGGTTAATATCCGTCGAAGGGACATTTTTCGTCGTTGTTCGAAGGTACCTTGGTAACATCACAAGGTATATTAAAGTGGGAATCCTAGCTCGTAGATTGCCGAAAGGAGCCACATAAATCATTGGAGCTAGTACCCCGCAGGGAACTTGCCACCAAATGATTTTTGACATGAGATTTTTTATTTTTTTTTTTATAAAAAAAAAAAAAAAAAAAAAACCATGCAGCAATGGGAAAGAATCGAAAAAGCCCAAAGGAGGATCGTTGAGGGAGAAATTCCAAAACAATACCGCCCCAGGCGGGGGTCGAACCCGCAACCTTGGGATTTCTTAGTCCTAATCTTCGTGGCTGGTACTGAAGAATAGTCCTTAAAAGTCCCACGCTCTAGCCAATTGAGCTACCAGGGCAACCGAATCATTGGATATTTTTGAAAGGGTTGGGCAGTAATATATTCGGCAGTCTTTTCCTTCTCCCTACGTATTCACATTTATTGGTCGCCTAGTAGCCTTAGGAATTACAACCTACCTCCTATGTGTAAGCAAATCATAATCGTATTGCCTCTTGCCAAATTAGCTTTGCCGTAATGGCTTTCTTACTAAATTACTTTTACCATTCCTTATTACTTAGGGAAATAGACGTTATTTACTTAGTGATTAGAATTAATTTTCATGATATAATCATATGAATGAATTTTTAAAATAATGCGGTATATGTAATAAAACTATTATTAGGGGTGCCTAGCCCCACCAGGAGTTCAAGCGGCCAGACGCACAAACCAGCCCCACTCCTAAAAATTATAGGGTTTCCAAGCCCTTCATCAAATTTGCCGAAAATTGCGGTTCGGGTCAAGCCGCAGCCTTTGGGATTTTTCGCACCTCCAATTTGGAGAATTGAGATTTGCGACAGTCGACCATCCTTCCTACTCTCCAACCAACCCTTGATCGCAATCAGTCACAATGGTACGAACTAGTCCTCGATCATGGCAGCAATTTCATAATCTATATCCAACCTCCTGCGAGTTTAGCGCTGACATATTGATTCTCCAAGGCGATCAAGCACAACAACCAGATTCAGCACAACCGTATGTTCAACCAAGCCCATTTTCCACTTTGTTATCAAACGACAAACCGAGCGATTCCATCACAATCTTTCAAGTTTCGATACTGATTAATCATACAGACTTCCGAAAGGATTGGCAGCGCCGGGTTCGAACCCACTTTGACCAGGTAAACCTCCACGATGGGTCAATCCGACTTTGAAGATATTCTGACTTGAGATGGGACACTGCAGCCGACCCAGAAGATCCGACGCCGTTCTCTGCGACGTGCTAAGGCCGCCGCTGTTGCTCCACGACCCGTCGATAAACTAAGACCCGTGGTCCGATGCCCGACCATCAAGTACAACCGCCGAGTCCGTGCTGGACGTGGTTTTACGCTCACTGAGCTGAAGGTGCGTCCCATCCTGAGAAATTTACACGTTCTACATACAGGAAGAGTCTACCGTTTAATTATCTACAATTGCGCCCTCAACTTTTGCCCTATTGGGGTGGCCGAGCATCTATATGGCATTCACTAACACCTACATAGGAAGCTGGTATCCCTCGCCTTGTCGCGCCCACTATCGGTATCGCCGTCGATCACCGCCGACAGAACCTCAGCGAAGAGTCACTCGCCGCTAATGTTGCCCGCCTCAAGGCCTACAAGGCCCGATTGATCGTCTTCCCCCGCAAGGGTGCCAAGCACCCCAAGGCTGGCGACAGCAAGGATATCGACCTTAGTAAGACCGAGATCGTTTCGACCATTGGATCTACTCTTCCCATTATACCTGTTGGTGAGGGCATCTTGGAGATCAAGAAGAGCGAGATGCCGAAGGCAATCGAGGGTGGTGCCTACGCGAAGCTTCGCAAGGCTCGAAGCGACGCGAGACTGCAAGGAATACGCGACAAGCGCGCCAGAGACAAGGCTGAGGCCGAGGCCAACAAGAAATAGATGGGCGTCTGAGTCCCAATGGGTCTTCGCGGGAGTACGGACGGCTTTATTAGGGTTCTGCTTTCGTTGTGTCGTTGGACGGTCATGGTTTAGCTTGCGGTTTCTGTGTAGCCAGGAGAGAAGAAAAGAAGATAATCCTTCTCTCGTCACACGAGTAAAGCCCAAGTATTATTGCATCTTCCGGTTTCTCTCTGGGTTCTCAACGAAGAATAAATGGTCATGAACATAACATACTTTGCGCATCTTGAAGACTCGCGATATGAAACGTGAATAACTGATATTGGATGGCTAATTAGCGAAGCTAGCTGCTTACATATTGGAAAATGAAATGCCGTAAAACTTTCGTAATCCGTTCGTGTTATATATCTTAAGTGCTCTGGAATATTCATAACACTCGAAACACGCATCCCCTGGCCGAGGATAGTGTCACTATGTTCGAGTTTCTCTATGCGTTTTATCGTCTCTATTACCGAGAACCAGTTCGCCGCCAGTTATCAGTGTCCCGCTGAAGGTACTTTTGGCCGAAGGGGTAAGTTCATCAGGATATCGTCTCAATAATTCCGCGATTAATACGAGACCATTCTCCCGGTTGACTTTAACCATAGCCGCTGTCTTCGCTAAGTCCACCTGCTGCGGCTCGAATTGACCCAGGGCGCCGCCTATGACAGAGAGGTCATCTGGCTTGGCCGGTGAATTGTTGCTGCCTACACTTTGCGGTGCCCCCTCGCCCGTAATATTCTCCACGAGCACATTTACGATCTGAGGCCACTCATTCATGACCTGAATCACCACAGGGGCCCCCTCGGCGGACCGTACCATCAGCGCCAGCACAAACCAGAGCTCCGATCTCAGGACGGGGAATTTTGCTTGCAGGCCAAGGTAGACCAAGGTTTCTGCAAGTGCCCGATGTGTACTATAAAAGCTATGGAGCAGCGACCGAGCTTCTTCCTCTGAGGATAAGGATGGCGACGATGACGATGATTCGGGAAGGAGCGAGGTACCAGCGGGCTTGTCGGAGTGTAACACGCGGCACACGTTGGCTACTGCACGTGCTGTCTCCATTTTGGTGGGCTCTTGGTCCGCCTTTCGATGTACGTCCATTAATTGACGTAGCAGCGTCCGATCAGGAGGCGAGGTCGACGAGCCTGCGCTCATGGGGGCACATACACGTCGCACAGTGTTGGTGCAGTCTATGAGGAGGAGACGTGTAAGAGATACAGCATCAAACTGGACCTGTGGTTGTGTATCGAGATTCCAGATACGGGGTAATACATGGGGATCCAGTAACCCTGCGTCGCCTAATATAGCCTTATTGCTTGCTGGGATAGACAGGTTCTTTAGGAAGCTAAGGGCCGAGTGGAGCAACTGAGCATCCGCAACGGATGAGTCAGAAGACAGGGTAGCAATTAGTGCTTTATGAACTGATGTTTCCTGAACGAAAGCAATACTTGGCGCGTCGGAGCGGGCGATGTTACCTAGGGCCAAGCATGCTGCGGCTGGGAGGGGCATCTCATAAGTAGGTGATGAGATCCATTGTAGAAGCAAGTTGGTAGGACGACTATCGAGCGGACATATGTCAACGAATCGAGGGTCGGCTGATAAATCCGCCAATGTCTCGGCGAACGCCAACTGAAGCTGCCTCAGCTGCGCCCGGTCCTCAGCATTATCAACTTGGAGGATCGAAGGGTCCTGGGCTGCCGTCTGAAGAGCTTCTAAGAAGAGTAAGATGGCGTCGGGGGTTTCAAGAAATCCCCCCCGGAGCTGCTGGATAGACAAGTATGTTAATGCCGCAGATGACAGCCCTAGGAAAATCTCAACGCCGTCCGATGAATCTGAATCCAAGGACACGCTGGCACATGCCTCAGTTAGGAGGCAGAATGGTGTTACAGAGGGTACTAGGTTAGGTTCGAACTCTTTGCATCATTAATTCTAGCTATTTCAAAGCAGGTTATATGGAGGGTATGGGTTCGGGATGAGGGTTTTATATACCTTGAGTCACTACAAGGCACAACAGCTTGTAGACGACACTAATGTACGGCGCAACTTCTTTCCGCAGCCGGGGTTTATCGATGATATCGACTAGGTAGACGGTCAAACCAGCTTTATACGCTGCTGTTTGAGCGGGTTCTGATCGACAAGGCGTCAGAATGTGCATGTTTTTAAGAGCGATTGCTCATCCTTACCATAATTGAGACAAACGTTGAAGAGGACCGGGACGGCGAACCGCACCAAGGTGTCGTGGCCTAGCATTGCGACGAGCCTGGGCAGACAGCCCGACTCGACGACACGTTGCCGATTTTCATCTACGCTTCATCAGCATGTGTTGGGATGAAGAGACACTAGAGATAAAGCGCGCGGACCTTGGTCTGCACAGGTATTGCCTATAACTCGGAGGGCATGAACCATAAGTGCGACGTCCTCGCCCGGATCGTCTCCTTTAATGAGGGTTAAGAAGAAGTCTAGCAACCCGGATTTTCCAAGCGCTATCCTCCATTGTTCTGAGAGAAGTCAGTCGACTTTTCCAACTTATTAATCCACACAAGGCTAGAGGCTTGCCATCTCGACTTCCATTTCCTATTTTCTCCGCTAAGGCCTCGAGCCCCAGGTCATTGGCTTCTTGCAGTTCCTCGGCAGTGCTGCGGATCTGTTCAAGTATGTGAACTCTTGCGTCGTCATCTTCGGGAAGAGTGTGGAAGAGCCCTTCAATTTCGTCGGACGTCATCATCTTCGACTCATCCCAGTTCCGTGCCCAAATATAGATGCGGATGGGAGTCACCGATCCCAGGGGCCGAGACAGTGAGAAGAATGGTTCAACAGCTTGCGGGCAGGCGAAAGGTAAGATATGGAAGTGTGGTCCATACAGGATTGACGGCGACGGTCTTTCAATGATGCTGATTGGATACCCAACCTCTGACCCCAGCTAGTGAGGCTCTGTGCCGATTAATAGTGGGCTCTATCCACTAACATACCACATACCCACGCCGAACTGCCCTAGCAGACTAGATCCAGCGGGGTATGCGCGTCAGCCCCTTTTCCCTCCTGCGCCTTATCACGGCATGCTATCTTGGCGACATACCTGTTGCATGCCATTTAGGTTAGGTAGATATAGGCAGGTTAGATACATACATGTAAGTAGCCACTAATTTCGAAGCACATTGAGCACGGCGAGACAGGTACAGTAGGTTTCAGCCATCCCATGTGTGAGATGTCAGATCCCGCGGCAAGCGTCCGCTCCGTGCGATCAGCCAACACATCATACGAGAACGAACTTGTTGCCTACTGGTTTGGTGAGAGCCATCACCTTTACACCGCACACGCAATCAGGCGATGATTCCACCCTTCCCTTGTAACGGCGCATCGTCTCTAGTGACTAGGACAGGAGCAAATAACGCTTCCTGACACGAGTCTACCCATTCGAA